GCCCTTTATGAATTTAATGTTATGCCGTTTGGTCTTTGTAATGCATTGGCAACATTCTAACAATTTATGGACACAATACTTCAAGGACACAAATGGGAAATTTTTTGTGCTACCTAGATAATGTGGTGATTTTTGGCAGCACACTGAACGAGCATAACAGACATATTAGTTTTGTTTTAGATTGCATACAAAAGGCCGGCTTGATCCTAAACTCTAAGAAATGTCATTCAGGTGAAACGAAGACAGTAGTACTTACACATCTCGTTGACAAAAAAATGGAGTAGGCCAGACCCACGGAAAAATCGAAGCCGCCAACTCTTTCGAACCACCAAAATCGGTGCGGGAATTGAGAAGCTTCTTGGGCCTATGCTGATATTTTCGTCCTTTCGTTTCGAGGTTCGCCGACGTTGTGCATCCCCAAACATGTCTTCTTCAAAAGGACGTCTCTTTCAACTGGACTTCAGCTTGTGACGATGCGTTCCTCCAGCTAAAGTTTCTACTAACATAGGGGCCCATACTGCTTCACTTGGATGCGTCCTTGCCAACGGAAGTGCATGCTGATGCTAGTGGCATCAGCATCGGTGCTGTACTTGTGCAGTGTCATGAAGGAGCTGAGCACGTAGTGGCTTATGCCAGTCGCTCTTTCAACAAAGCTGAGCGCAACTATACCGTAACAGAACAAGAATGCTTGGCAGCTGTTTTCGCGGTACACAAATTTCGACCTTATATTTATGGACATCGGTTCACTATCGTTACCGACCATCACGCTTTATGCTGGCTCGTGAATCTTCGTGACCCAACTGGTCGACTGGCCCGTTGGACTCTTCGACTTCAGGCGTACGACTTCATCATCTCGTTCAAGTCTAGACGCCGCCATGCAGATGCCGACTGTCTCTCCCGCCTTTCCCTGAAGGCGACCGAGTGTAAAGAAGACAGTCTTGACGTTTGTTTTGCCTCCATTTCTTCCACATTCCCAGACTTAAGTACTTTCAAGAAAGAACAAGAGGCTGATATTAGCTTGGAGCCATTACTTGTCGCGGCACCGCGTCCTCGAGCCACCGGCCGCTCTTGTGCCCGTGACGGCCTTCTACACGTCGTCAGTCCCTAGTGGGATCATTGTGTAATGCCTATTAGAGCAAAAAAGAAAAAAATGTGACACTAAATTTATAGCGTGCATTTTATTTGCCTGTGAAATCTGGAAATGTTGCAGCAAGCAATAGCGAGACATGCACGCCTTCACCTTCAAAGATTTCTTTTTAACGTGCTGTGATCAGTTTTTGGCAAATAAAATTTTGAGTTCAGTGCACCTCAAGTATTTGCGACAAGATCGGGCTATAGGTGGCAGAATTGTCTTGACGCAAGTGTGGGTAGGCGGTTGCTGACAATGTATACAAATACACGACGGGTCGCTTCGTTGCATGCGGTCTGAGCCGATTGTCGGCGAATAAGATGCATTTACTGCAGTTTACTGGTATTATCTATGTTCCTTTGTTCTGAATCAGTGCATGGAGCCTATAAAATATTGCAATTACCAGCGAGTAAAGTGCATTCTGTCTTTTAAAGGGATGCGTGCCCAAAGGGACTGTCTGCGCTCTTTCGCACTAAATCACGCTTTTGCTGAGTTGTTTATTCGTGTTTAGGTTGTGTTCGGCCTGCTACACTCTACTGTAGTGCGACTGAACTACCTATTTACTCCTTTCATCTGCATACAACAAAAAAGAAAGAAAGATCACAGAAAGTTGTATATCTGCCCAGCAAGTTCAGTACCATTGTTTGCACTTATATGCATATTCTATTTTTTTTTTTTCATTTTGTTCTTCATGAAATGTGGTACATTCAATAAGTCTAGTCAGGAAAGATTAGTTGCTGACAGTGCTTTGTGCTACACTGCATTTACTAAGTATACGTGCATGGAAATCAGAATAAAACTTTCATCAATAGATTACTTGCATGACGGTGCTACAAAAAAGATCTGGTTATTTTGTGGGACTAGCATGTTCTCTTTTTTTTAACGAAAATGATTGCTGTCTTCCATTGATCAATAACAGTCCCACATAAACCTTAAAGAAAATGTAAGAAAGATGAGATCTTCAGTGAAGTTATATAACACTAAATGTAAGACATGCCATCTGAGTAAATTTTGAACGTCTGAGCTCTTTAAAGTGTTCCTAAATCAAACTACAGGGGATCAACTGCTACCATAGTGCTTCATAAAGAAAGCAACAGAATACCAATCAAGAAGGGTGTAAGGCAGGGGAACTTAATCTCCCCAATGCTATTTACCGCGTGCTTACAGGAGGTTTTCAGAAGCCTAGAATGGGAACAGTTAGGGATAAGAGTTAATGGAGAGTACCTTGGTAACCTGTGCTTCGCCGATGACATTGCATTGCTGAGTAACTCAGGGGACGAATTGCAACTCATGATTACGGAGTTAGACAAGGAGAGCAGAAAGGTGGGTCTTAAAAATCTGCAGAAAACAAAAATAATGTACAACAACCCCCGGAATAGAGCAGCGCTTCGAGATAGGTAATAGTGCACTTCAAGTTGTAAAAGACTATGTCTACTTAGGGCAGGTAATAACCACGGAGCCGAACCACGAGATTGAAGTAACTAGAAGAATAAGAATGGGGTGGAGCACATTTGGCAAGCACTCTCAAATTATGACAGGTAGATTGCCACTATTCCTCAAGAGGAAGGTACATAACAGCTGTATCTTGCCAGTACTTAGCTATGGAGCAGAAACCTGGAGATTTACAATGAGGGTTCAGCCTAAATTGAGGACGACGCAGCGAGCAATGGAAAGAAAAATGGTAGGTGTAACCTTAAGAGACAAGAAGAGAGCAGAGTGGATTAGGGAACAAACGGGGGTTAAAGATATCATAGCTGAAATCAAGAAGAAGAAATGGACATGGGCCGGGCATGTAACACGTAGACATGATAACCGCTGGTCGTTAAGGGTAACTAACTGGATTCTCAGAGAAGGCAAGCGGGTTAGGGGGAGACAGAAGGTTAGGTGGGCAGATGAGATTAAGAAGTTTGCGGGTATAAATTGGCAGCAGCAGGCACAGGACCGGGTTAACTGGCGAAACATGGAGAGGCCTTTGTCCTGCAGTGGACGTAAGCAGGCTGATGTTGTATATCTGCCCAGCAAGTTCAGTACCATTTTTCGCACTTATACGCATATTCTTCATGAAATGTGGTACATTCAATAAGTCTAGTCAGGAAAGATTAGTTGCTGACAGTGCTTTGTGCTACACTGCATTTACTAAAATTACGCGCATGTAAATCAGAAGAAAAGTTTCATCAATAGATTACTTGCATGACGGTGCTACAAAAAAGGTCTGGTTATTTTGTGGGACTAGCACATTCTCTTTTTTTTTTTTTTCGAAAATGATTGCTGTCTTCCATTGATCAATAACAGTCCCACATAAACCTTAAGACAATGTAAGAAAGATGAGATCTTCAGCGAAGTTATATAACACTACATGTAAGACATGCCATCTGAATAAATTTTGAACGTCTGAGCTCTTTAAAAGTGTTCCTAAATCAAAGCACACGGTTGCACACCATAACTCTATTTTAAGTACAGTTTAAATACCGAAGTGTCACAGTTTATGTGATTATAATATTTCTATGTAATGGCACCATGGCCAGATAAACAAAATTAATGCTCCTTGCATAAAGATAAACTACAATGCTGTAGTTGTATACCTACTAACAGCGCACAAGTGCGTGGCCTAGAGCCTTGTTTTTGTATACAACCGAGTCGCTCAAACGCTGCCTTCACGCACCAATTAATTTTCCCTCAAGTTTGGTAGGATGCCAAGAACATTTTATGATGTGCTTGAAGCAGAAAGTGGCATTTACTCTGAAATTATTCTGGTGAATGGAGGGTGCTACGACAATAAAGAGCACTCTGAAAAGTTGCGCTCGCCGATCTTATTATAATAGATTAGCAGCCGAGCAATAACAAATGCTTTCTTATGTCATTCCAGGCATACGTACAAGCAGTTACACTCGCGCTGAGAATCAGATGAACCACCCTTCGAGAACATGCATAACATACGTGCACACAGAAACACGATGTACGTGGCAAGCGGACGACGCACGGAGCAACCCACACTCACGCGCTTCAGCCAGTTGCCGCCAGGCAGCGATTCCATTCGACCTCGCGGCCAATACTCATGTAAAATATTAAGAAAAAAACAGACAAAACGAAAAAGTCACAGTGTATCCACGGAGTGAATGATGATTGGTGGGGCGAAGCGTCCGTCAGCCCGTCCGTGCTCCCGTCTGTCCGTGCATCCGTTTATGAGTCTGTCCACCCATATGTCTGTCTGTTCGTGCGTCCATCCGTCCGTAAGTCCGCACGTCTATCAATCCGTCCATTTGTCTGCTGGTCTGTCTGTCCCTCCGTCTGTGCGTCCATCTAGTGAACACTCGAAGTACTGCCATCTCTCATCTCGCATTCCCTGTGGCACATACCCGCTATAGAGCAGGTATGTGCCACCGGTGGCTTGCACTACTACATACATACAATCAAAGTGCGGACAGACCCACCCCTTAAGGAGCTTCGCCCCTAAAATATCATCCGGACACGCATCCTTCCTTTCTCATGGAATTGTCGATTAAAGTAACGGTGGCGTAGTAGAAAATCGGATGGTGCCACCAATTAAGCCATGCATTCAAGCGCACTACTAGCGACCATCAACCATTGATGCCATCATAAGAGCTGTGCGGGCCATTTTTTTTACTCTTGATTGTTGTTGTAAGTAAATATTCATTATAGAGTGCACTCGCACTTTTTTGTCTGTTTGTTGGTTAGTTTTGACATACGATTTTCAGTTGTCATCTGCATGCCGGTCTACTTACAATCATGTAAATATGTGAGCCTGATAACAGTTGATCTCTTTGTCATGTTATTGCAAGCACACGAGGTTCCATGGAAATACTTTGAATAGACACTCACTACTGAAATGAATTTTATGTGGACGTTGCAGGAAAAGAACAAGAACAACAAAGGCCGAGGCTGAAGGAGAAGCTGGTGAGCTGAACATCAATTTTTTTTCTTGGTTTGTCTCTGTGGGAGTGAACGTACTGGCACCTTCGATAGTGCTGTCATGCACTATATAAATCGTCTTAATTGGTAATCTTGTTAACGAATTGATGACATTATGTGATGCAATCAGGTTTGATGCAGGGCTCGCCATATAAGCACAGCCCTGCTCTTTTCTCCAGTGGGTGACATCAGGGCGCACTTAGTTTGAAAGATCGTTTTATCGGTTGTGAAACCATAGTCGTGGAGTAGGGAGTCCTTGTTGGGCTTTCCTTTCCCCCTTATTTTCTCCTCTCTCTCTCTCTGCTGTGTTAGTGCTTTCACTCAATATAAATTGAAATGTAACTGCACCTTGTGTTGGGTTCTCATTGTTCGACATTTTAGCGGGCTGCCTGTGGAACAGCGTGTGGTGGTGGCAATTCAAAACAGAATCTCAAATACATGTGTGTAGTTCTGGGCAGTAGTTATGGCTTTTGGCAACATTACTCGTCTGTTTGAAAAGTGTCTCTTTGGTACTACACTCACACCTCATTATAACAACGTTGTATCCTATAGCAACTAAATTTATTATACCCAAAAATTTATCATAAAGGTATATTTTAACACTATATGTGTTGTAAGACTAATTTTAATTTACTTTGTTATAACCAATATCTTGTTATATCGAGGTTTCAGTGTACTAGTGCGAGCCAAAAAATCACACTGAGGTTGCGTTGACAATACGACACAGTTATTTTTCACGATTGGAAAAGCTGATTTATTTATTTATTAGAATACCCTCAGGGCCCGTAGGGCATTACAGAGGGGGTGGGTACAACATTTTATAACACAAAAAGGAATAAAGACAAGAAAAAAAAAGACAAAGAAAAGAAACAAGTGTCAGATGCGCAAATCACGAAGGCAACATAAATCAACTAAAAATGTATAAGTAAGAATTCAAGCACATACAAGACAAAGATAGATAATGGAAACTGCGTATAGTTACAACATTGCTGAGAAATTGCAGTCTGAATAACAAAGGGTTGTTATTGTTACAACGGAAGAGGGAAGGTGGTTCCAATCGGCGGCTGTTTTGGGTAAGAAGGCTGCTGAAAAGAATTTGGTGCGGCCAAACGGAATGGCAACCTTATGCTGGTGATCAATGCGCGATGAGTGGTATGACGGTTGGGAAATGAGGTCTCGCTTCATTGATGGATGTGAAAAAATATCTTATGAAAAAAATGCAGTCACACCAATTTCCTCCGGACAGTAACTTGGGCAGGTCAAGGTTCGATTTCATTTCTGATATGCTAGCAGTACGGGAATAATTAGAACAAACTGAACCGAGCTGAGCGGTTCTGAACAGATTCTAACGCTGTTGATTAAATTTTGCTGAACAGGATCCCATATAGCGGACGCGTACTCAAGCTTTGGGCGAATTAGTGATGGTATAGTAGAATTTGAGGGGACAGCGGAGCTAAAGCGGGTATGTGCCACCGGTGGCTACGTACTACTACATACATACAATCAAAGTATGGACAGACCCAACCCTTGAAAGCTTCGCCCCTAAAATATCATCCGGACACTCATCCTTCCTTTCTCATGGAATTGCCCATTAGCGTAACGGAGGCGTAGCAAAAAATCGGATTGTGCCACCAATTAAGTCATGCATTCAAGCGCACTACTAGCGACCATCAACCATTGACACCACCATAAGAGATGTGCGGGCCATTTTTTTTAACTCTTGGTTGTTGTAAGTAAATATTCATTATAGAGTGCACTCACACTTTTTTGTCTGTTTGTTGGTTAGTTTTGACATAGGATTTTCAGTGGTCATCTGCATGCCAGTCTACTTACAATCATGTAAATATATGAACCTGATAACAGTTGATCTCTTTGTCATGTCATTGCAAGCACACGAGGTTCCATGTAAATACTTTGAATAGACACTCACTACTGGAATGAATTTTATGTGGACGTTGCAGGAAAAGAACAAGAACAACAAAGGCCGAGGCTGAAGGAGAAGCTGGTGAGCTGAACATCAATTTTCTTTCTTGGTTTGTCTCTGTGGGAGTGAATGTACTGGCACCTTCGATAGTGCTGTCATGCACTTTATAAATCGTCTTAATTGGTAATCTTGTTAACGAATTGATGACGTGTGATGCAATCGGGTTTGATGCAGGGCTCGCCATATAAGCACAGCCCTGCTCTTTTCTCCAGTGGGTAACATCAGGGTGCACTTAGTTTGAAAGATCATTTTATCGGTTGTGAAACCATAGTCGTGGAGTAGAGAGTCCTTGTTGGGCTTTCCTTTCCCCCTTATTTTCTCCTCTCTCTCTCTCTGCTGCGTGAGTGCTTTCACTCAATATAAATTGAAATGTAACTGCACCTTGTGTTGGGTTCTAATTGTTCGACATTTTAGCGGGCTGCCTGTGGAACAGCGTGTGGTGGCAATTCAAAACAGAGCCTCAAATACATGTGTGTAGTTCTGGGCAGTAGTTATGGCTCTTGGCAACATTACTCTTGTGTTTGAAAAGTGTCTCTTTGGTACTGCACTCACACCTCGTTATAACAAAGTTGCATCCTATAGCAACTAAATTTATTATACCCAAAAATTCATCATAAAGGTATATTTTTAAGACTATATGTGTTGCAAGACTAATTTTACTTTACTTTGTTATAACCAATATCTTGTTATATCGAGGTTTCAGTGTACTAGTGCGAGCCAGAAAATCACGCTGAGGTTGTGTTGACAATGCGACACGGTTATTTTTCACGATTGCAAAAGCTGATGTCTTATTTGGCTCTTGCTTAGCATGATGTCTAAGCCTGAAAGCTTGAAGATATAACGGTATAATAAATGGTGGCTAATGTGTGGCTGCTAACGGGTAGTTCTCTTTTTTACTTTGTCGCTTTTGTCTTTTCTGCACAGCTTTCTTGTGTCTTAGTGTCCTGCCTCTTCTCACGACATTTGCAATTTCGACAACCAACACAGCTTTGCAAGTGCACTTGCCTGTGTGCGTATAGAGAAATAACACTCATACCTTGATATAACGAACATAGATATAACAATATTATTGGTTATAATGAAGTAAGTGAATAGCTTTGTCACAGATGCAGTGTTACGAATATATGTTTTTGACAAATTTTTGGTTGTAACGAGCCATTTTCATGGCAGATGTGACTTCGTGAAGTTTGATTGTAGAACAATTTGAGTGTCTTAGTCAAGTACTGTATTTACTCACATAATACTCGCACTCACATAATTCTCACACCCCTAGCATTGCCCAGCAAAATTTTTATCCTTTTGCTTTTTTTTTTTCAGCAGTCAATTTCAGCAGTTATGTCATCTGCTGCTTCCAATCACTGATGATGATAGCACATGACAGCCTAGCGCCATCTCTTAAAGGAGCCCTTCAACACTTTTTGAGCATGGTCAGAAAACGCTGCCAATCGGTAGTAGAGGCTTTTGACAACACGCGAGCCAAATATTAGAGCTCAGCACGAGGCCTGGAATTCACAATAAATTATCAAAATCAGCTAAAAAATAGCTTTTTCTTCTCCTGATAAATCACGGAATATGCCCAAAAATCACACGTAGCAAGCCCATCTATCAGCCATTGGCTCATTTGAACAGGGCGCGCTCCCTCGTAATAAGATCGCCACGGGAGGCCGCTACTTGTCCACGCATGCGCGGGCGATCACACTGGAAAAGCCGTGCATTCGAAGAAAGAAAAAGAAAAAGTTCACAAGGTCACGGGGCGCACGTGACGTTTCTCTGTGGCCCTGCCATCTCTCCCTGCTTAGCTTCCAGCGCTTTCGTCAGGACGAGAGAAGAGAGAATGCGATTGCAGCGTGTGACAAATCTTCGTAACACCGCTCGTACTGGACGGATTCTTAACATTTTTGCAGCGTTGAATTCGTGAGGCAATCAGTTCTTCCAGTGAATTCATTCCATGGTTACTTGAAAAAGTGTTTCGGAGCCCCTTTAAGCATTATGCATACTATCAATGCACAAGCCTCAGTCTAATCCAAGCGAAGCCAAAGTGGCAAGTGCGCATTGCGGCTTGTGTTCGTTCTGTGGTTACCCTATGGGGGGATACGGAAGCTGCACAGCTGCTTTCAAGTTGAAAGTGAACAATAATGCAGTAAACAATGACAACAGGACTGCCGGTAGGCAGTTCGCTGTCAGCGAGTTTTTTGTTCACTACTGGCGACAGCAGCACAAGGAGCTGAAAGCCACCAAGACGCATTGGGCCTTGGTGTGCCTAAGACTGGGATGGATGGTAAAACTTTATTCAGTCAGAAGGCAACTGTGAACGATTCTGTGTTAGATAAGCCATTAGTATCATCCCAAGGTTGATGTCATACACTGACCTTTAGCTGGCTGCCGTTGACTGACAAATGCTAACACTACGGCTGCAAGCTTTGCGTACGGAATTTTTTTACTATTTGCTTGCAGCTTTTGTGTCTCAAATAATTATTGCCTTGATTTGAACCTGTGATTTTATTGTTAAGACTTTGTTAGTACTCCTCAAAGCTTGTGGTTAGTTGCTGGCGTGAGAATCCCGATTTGCGGCCACTTCGTTATCTTTTTCTCTCTGTACGTTTTCGCGGGAAGTTTTTCTCGTGTGATTCTCGCACCCCCCAACTTTTAATTCATTTTTGGCGAGAAAAGTCCGAGGATTATGCGAGTAAATATGGTATGCTAGCACCATTTGCTAGGGCCATTACGAAAATGTTGATATAGCATTCAGTTCTACGTTGTGTCCAGAGACCACTTTTACTGGTCTATTTTGCCCACTAAGTAATACGTACATGACTGCTGCTGCTTGTGAATCTCAAAAGTGTGTCGTGTTTGCCGAGGCTTTCCGATTTTCGTTTCCTCGGTTTTATTCTGTCACTGCCTTGCAGAGGAGTCACAACTGGATCAGATTCCTCCTTGCCAAGAAATTTCAGCGCACGACTCTCCTATTGTGGCTGTCAAGGTATATAAATGTGATCTAGCTGACATTACTGCTTGCAAGCTTTTTGTTCATTCTAACATTGTTGGTGGCACTACTGCATTGCATCTTGAGTAATTAAATGTCCGTTGACCCCTCACAACCTGAAATTTCTTTGCTTGACAGAGTTCTTACAAAGTGCAGCCGAAAGTGTTTCTAAAGGTTCTGAGATTGCAGAAAATTTTTTTTAGTTTTGGGGCTCTCAGAAAAGAGTTGCTTATGGAACAGACGGGCACAGTCCACTCTGCGATGTAACGGACATGTGGACACTTAATAATAGCCTTTGTGTGACAGCAAGAAATGTTCACTGAGACATTATACAAAAGACAGCAATACTTCATTGGTCATTCTCACTCCATCATGTAATACCTATCTGGGGCATCGTAATGTTATTCTGATATAAATAATTTTCAAAAATATAGCGCAGACACATACTTTCACGCATGCACGCACTCTCACATACAACCACCAAAGGCGTCCAGTGCTTTTGATGATTGCATGTGGGGCTGTGTGCAATTGTGAATGTGCCATTTGCAAGCACAAGAATCACTCAAGAACGCCGCACAAATGTGGTCCCTTTTGTTTATAGCATGCAGGAAACACACAACAGGCCATCTAATGCGCGAACTCTCATGGAATCGAAGGGCTCATGCTTTCATCTATGTCTTGAATAGAAAAGCCCCAATTGTCGAGCTAAGCATTTCGGAAGCCTCTTAGTACATTGCAGAAGATCCATGACGAGATGACCAGTGGTCGTAATAAGCAACAAAGTGGTGGGTGTTCTCGATGAACTCAGCTAGTCGAAAGCCCCTAAGGGGTTAAACGAAATGATGATGAGGACCTTGTTGTACCACAGGTCGCTGTCATCATTACAGCTTCGCTGTCCAACCTTTCTGTCACAGTGTGGAACTGGCCAATATTTTTTCTTTTTTTGCTTGCTTCTGGCTCTTTTTTTTTTCCTTGCAGCTTGTTGGGCACTACGTGTATTCCTGTTCCAACGACTGTTCAGCCCGTCGTCACAACCTCCTGGTGAGCCAACGTTTCCCATCTTGAAGTGACGATTGTGTGGTGAAACCAATTCCGCTCGTTTGCTGCACTGAGACTCTTGTGCCTCAATCCAAAATATGCTCTTAACCTATCTCTTCCTACTAATTGGCATCACCAATGGCACCGCACGCAGTTGACGATAATTTTTTACAGAAGAAAAGCTGGACACTCATTGTTTGTCCATCACGATACAGTAAGTGAGTTTTATGCCAGCATGTGGACTGTAGCTGAAGCACTTAGCTTTCAATAGCTTCTACCATAAAGTACGAGTTCCGTCACATTGGGTGCACATTGTCAAGACTCTAAACAAAGCTACTGAGGGCCACATTTGTTGTGGGGTGAACTGTGGCCGCGAAAAATACAATCGTAGCATCCATGCAGTTCTGAAGACACGTCTACGGCCTACATGCAGAGTTGAAACTTCGAAGTGCCACATCAGTGGCTAAATAAACTTGTCTCACTGATACACAGCCGCGGCGCAGTTCTGTAGGCGTGTGATGAAGATGGAACTGCTGCTTGTCACAGACTTGACTACAGGTGAACCCCGTCAGAAGGACATAACCCATGAGGCCGTTCTCTGCTTTTTTGTGGGGCGTCTCTTAAAAGCTGGGTGCCACGTGTGCATTTTCTTATGAACCCCCATTTCGATGTTGGGCCCAGGGATGTGTCAATTGTCTGTTACACCAGGGTCTCTTATAAAGGGGTTCGACTGTACTAGTATTTGAACTTGCTTTAAATTATTTGATATTATTTACTATTATTTATCACTTTGCTTAGCACCAAGGAAGTGACATTTGAAAGAGCCAATATGTACGAATACTCATGTTATTTCGCTGAAGAAAGGTGACAATTTGTATTGCGTATTAGGTGCCACAGCCCACCGTCTTACTCTTTTGTAGCTATGGTTAAATTGTTGTGTTCGCGCGCCCTGTTTATTGATTATTAACACTTCTTCCTCTTCCTATCGCTGCCGAGCTCTGCATTGTGGCTTTGATGCCCAGCCGTGGTGGGCACTTTTCGATAGGGTTTACACGAAAAAAATGCTCGTGTAATTTGTAACTTCAATTTAGGTGCTGGTTCCACTCTGACCACGATGTGGTCAGAGTGGAGCCGCTCTCTCACCTGAAGTGTGCTTTATTAACCATATCGTTATTTAGTCGTGTAAAAACCCTTAATAATAGATTAAAACATTCAATCTATTTGTTTTCTGATGGTTTTATGGTACAAATCTTAAGAGGCTTGTGTTTTTAGTTTGTTCATTTGTACACGTGTGTTTTCGCTCTGGCAAAATTTAAAAAAAAAAAAAACAGGATTCCAGCCAGTGTGTCATCTACCTGGGAAGCACTAAGACGGTGAATTCAATCGAAGTGCACAACGGAAAAAACCACCCTGCAGTGCTGTACACTGCTTCGCTTGACGGGCTTCTTCGATCCTATGACCCCGAGGTGAGAGTTTGTCGAAGTTAATGGCATAAACTAAGCTTGAAACTTTTTTGAATTCACTAGACACTTATGTAAGGCTGGCCACGATTCATAGATGATGTGGAACTTGCTTCATTACCTTGAATGATGGGGGTCATATTCTCATGTTTGCTGTTTTGATATCTACAACTGAACGTTGAAAATGAGTTCTTTAAAAAGCCATTACCAACTTTAAAGGGGCCCTGCAACACTTTTCAAGTAATCTACTGTCACCAAAATTTTTCAAATCCATGAAGTACGAACAGTGTCGTAGAGGTTTTTTGCATGCTTTAAGAGCTCTCATTCTGTTTTCTTTCATACCAGCAAGCGGGCTTTACACAGTGGGTTACTAGAAAGCTAAGAGGCCAAGAAGTTAGGTTCATTCGTCAAAGCACATTATGAGATTGAGCACCTTTATTTTTTATTGGAGCATGCCGCTTACCTTCAGTGTGATCGCGATCATGCTGCTACAATTCGATGCTTAATTTAAATCTAACACTATACAGTGAAATCTCAGTATAACAAACCCCACATTAACAAACTTTTCAGATTAACGAGCTTTTAAAAAGTTTTATGCCAACTGCTAATAGTTTCAATGTAAAATTATTTCACTGCTATGTACTTCAGAATACTCAACTTTACAGATTAAAGAGCATTAATATAGTTCTGCATTATATTAACAACACCTCAGTACCATGAACTCATGTTCTAAAATCCGTCGCTACAATCAGAGCGGTACCCAAGTAGACGACACAGCGAACGAATGCCTTGCTTCTTGGAAGACGCGCAACGGTGTGGAGGAAAGAAAAAAAAAATATAAAGGATGACCTTTTTTTTATTTTTATTTAAACGCCTATGCTACAGGTTTACAAGCGCAGAGGTGAGGGGCGAGGGCAACAAGGGAGGGCAAGGTCAGCAAGGCAGAGCGGGAGTTGCAAGCATGGGCACGGAAAACCTGAGACAGCAAAGGAACAGAAAATTAAACGCAAGGAATTTTCTTTTGTAGCACTTTTCTTTTTTCGGAAGAGGTGATGACAGCCTCGAGGCTTTGGGTTTTTCTTTCTTTGTCAGTCACTTCTACATGTCCTCTAGGAGGCCTTATTTGTCAGTCGTGTCCATCTCTTTTAAAGACGATAGTCTTTCTTGGGGACCTTCGACGTGAAAATTTTCGTCTGTCTATCTGTCTGCACATTTGCCTGTTTGTCCACCCTTAGCGGTACCTTAAACGGCACCAAAGTGACCAAACCATACAAGAATTTTGCAAATACGTGCTATATTAAGGAAGTTACAAAAGCTAGAACATCGCATTCGGGTGGTTTCAAATTTTCGCGCGGCCTTGCCACCCTTTTTCAGAGGAAGGGCAAGGCGTGGCCCGTTGTCGTGACTCCGCACACTTTCGGCAATGTGACCAGACGTCAGCGACTGACGTCATCGGCAAACTCAATCAGTCGCAACGCACTTCCGTTTGCTGCTATGCCTGGTTGTTTACTGTTTACCCGGTGCCAATGCTTCTCCGCAGCCCAGTCGCTCAATTTGCAGCCAACAACTATTTCAGGAAAACTGCGTTCCAAAACCCGGACATGAAGTTGGCCTGATATTTCTGGAGTTCGATTGTTTAGTAGCACACTGTCGCGCCATCTGGGAGCAGCAACACAAAACACAAATATTGCGCCTAATAGTGGGTGTGCTGATCAATAGGTGGCATGACAATCTACTCACTTTCAAAAGCTGGCTCAGTGAAGTTTTCCAATTTCGATGCATAGAGCCTATAAGGAGTTTCGCAACTCATATGATTGAATAGCTCTGTCGTAGCTGTGGGTGGGAACAGGAACAGTCGTTGACATCACTACTCTTTGTTGAGACCTGGTTTAGACCAATCGACGAGCTGCGTGCTGCGTCACGTCGCCGATCGCCGAGTTGTCGTCACTGCGCTTGCAAAGAGCATTGGTCAGGCGTAGGAAAAGAGCGCAGAAATTCTTTTTCGAACTGGAGGCTCTGCGCGGTACGCAGCTCTGTAATATTCAGAAAACGAGATCGTTGTGGTCTACTCTACAAGTTACCGAGCTTGTTCGGGGGGTCTGAAAAAAAGTAGGAGCCTGTTAACTAACTTTTTAAAATATTTTGAAATATGATCTCGTCTAGAACACTGAAATGAGTGTTTATCCTCCTGATACTTGAGAAGGCAATTGCAGGTCGATTTATTATAAGCTTCTTTATTTAAGTCTTGAAGATCCTAGAAAACTGGAAGAAAGAATTGTTTCAGATGAGCAATGGCAAAAAATTAGCAAAATTGAATATTGTCAATGAATTCAATTTAATTTAAATTCAATTAATTTAAACTGCAATTTGCTCCAATTTGTGGAGAACAGCAACGATGCAGAAGGGTCAAGGATGGGGCGACACAGTCGCACTTTTGTTGGGGTGAGTGCAAAGAATAGTGGCACTTTGACAAGGTCAGGGGGCTTTAGCCTGTGGTGGCCTCATCAACTGCACGGGTCACAATGCTGAAATCGGCCAATGGCTGCGATCATTGTGCTTGTGACGAGGGCATTCTGGCTCACAACATCGTTAGTCGAAAGAAGAGTGAGCGATCGCTAGCCAACTTTGACATTTAAAGTTGCCCTAAAACACTTTTTCAAGTAGCCATGGAATGAATTCACTGGAAGAGCTTATTGCCTCACGAATTGAACGCCGCAAAAAGGATAAGAATCCATCCAGTGCTAGTGGAGTTACAAAGATTTGTCGCACACTGCGATCGCATTGTCTCTTCTCTCATCCCGACGAAAGTGCTGGAAGCTAAGTAGGGAGGGATGGTAGGGGCAAAAAAAAAAAAAAAGGTAATGCGCACCTCGTCAGCTTGAGCGCTTTTTTCTATGTTTTTTATGTTTTCCCTTTGAATGCACGACTTGTTCAGTGCGATCGCGCCCGTGCGTGTGGACAAGTCGCAGCCTTTTGCTGTAACGACCGAGCGCGCCATGTTCAAATCAGCCAATGGCTGATAGATGGGCTTTTTAAAAGTGATTTTTGAGGGTCTTTCGTAATTTGTCGAGAGAAGAGAAAGTAATTTTTAGCTGAAATTGATAATTTATTGTGAATTCCAGGTCGCGTGCTGTGCTTATAATATTTGGCTCGCATGTTGTCGAGAGCCTTTACTACTGATCAGCATCATTTTCTGACCATGCTGAGAAAGTGTTGCAGGGCCCCTTTAACTGTACATTCCACGCCAACTGCTGTGCTGTAGTGTTTAACTCACGTGTTTGCTGAAGCTGGACTACTGATTGGCATCATTTTCCTGACCGTGTTCGAGAAATGTTGCAGGGCCTTGTTTAGTGAGGAGCGAGAGGCCCCTGAATATTGGGACTCATTAAAGGGACTCTGAAACGGTTTCGACGATCTTGTACAAACATCATGACCAAGTCCTAAGGGTCATTTATAGACCGATTTAAGCCCTCTGCGTAAAATGTGTTACAATGCTTTAAAGCTGCGAATCGCTGCAAATCGTTATGACTCATTATACGCATTTTTTACTGCCCAATCACAGAACGACATGCTCTGGTAGCCACATCACTGAGGCTGCTCATTTGATTGGTTCTGGTACGTGTAAAATCGGCTGGTAGGGGGGCAGCACCCGTCGGGGCAGAGATCAACCGCCCTGAAACCTTTGCCGCTGTTGCTAGGCGGCGTGCGTGCTGCCGGGTGCACTGTGTGATGGCCTCCGAGATTGCGCGCAACCTGTCGGCCTACAATATTGGAGAACTAGACTCGGGGGAAGCTCAAATCCCCGAGTGCATTCATGACTGCTCTGCGATCACCAGTGATGCCAGCATGTCTTACATGTTGAGGAAGCAAGGCAAAGGTGACAAGGAGTGTATGATACAATGGTCCGTAGCGGCCTCGCTGCACGGCTTGTTGCTAAATTTGTGGTGCAAATAGTTTGATGATGCTCTATCCTTAATGCCGACAAAAGTTCAAAAAGCCATTTCAGGGTGCTTTTAATGCTGGCTTACTTTTGGCATAATTTCCACTGCATGGCGAAAATGGCTATTGTTTCAAACGCAATACAGTTATCACACTTCAGAACATTTAAAACAGGTTTCGTTAGGTGTTTGCGAGTTTTTTTGGCCAACAACCTACCATTTTCTAAGACAGCAGAGCAAACAGTACAACAATGGAATGCAGTAAGAACTGTTATCTCCATGTCCCATTGCCGAAATTTTGTTGCATTTCATTATGTGCCCACTAGCCTAGTACCATCCTGTAAGCGTTGCCTCATTTTGTAAGGAGTGTGTGAATAATATTTCTTTTTTGCGCCTTGGGTGTTCTTTTCGCAGTTCCGTTTTCTGTTATTTTAGTATGTGGGGCTTCTTTCTTCTACAGACGGGGGATTGCTTTAACACCTTCAACGCGGAGTCGCCAATCATGTGCACTGCGCTGGCCTGGGGTAAAATATACCTTGGCCTCCAGACGGGATATGTTGCTGTGTTCAATGTCAAGGTGAGTAATTGCTAGCTCGATTAATTAGACGACACAAATGTCGGGGCTATGCCGGACAAAGAAACGTCTTCGTTGCATCTGATATTTGATATATACTTTCAAACCTCATTATATCAAAGTTGCATCTTGCACGAAATGCAGTTCGTTCTGTCGGAAAATTCGTTGTAAGGGTATATTCTAACACTGCATCTATTGTGAGACTTTTTTACAGCAAAAGCTGTTGTGCGATCAAAATATGGGTCACGCGGGGCACCGTAGTTGTCTGCCGCCGCCGGTGTATGTAGCCAGTATCGCAAGAAATAAGAAAAAAAACTTAGTAAATAAGAAACACCAAGAACACAACGGAATTCGAACTTGGGTCTGCTGCATGCCAGCCCAGTATTCTACCATTGAGTCACGTTGGTTTCAAACTCATTTTGAAACTGCCCTTTGGCAGGCTTAATGGCGGAAAAGGAATCGCGTTAATATTAGTAATAAGGCGTTTTAGAACATCAATGGAACAACCAGGCATCACACAATGCAAATTGCATTACGAGTCGGTCATACAATGCTCGAACCCATTACAAAACCTTCTTTTTGATAACCTAATAAATGTGACACATACCCACTTCAGGCATAATCCACTGCATGAACAATTGGCACAATATTCCTTGCAAGTTTTTAGCGGATACAACGCTTCTCAGAAGAATGACGAAGGATAGCATAATAATAGCTGGCCCACTACAAAAAACTGTGATTACCGTATTTACTCGATTCTACCGCGCCCTCGATTGTAACGCGCACCCGATTTCCACCGCGAAAAAAAAAAAAACGTAAGACATCGATTGCAACGCGCACCCATTTTTTTTTGCTGGCCCGCACGATCACACCACTCGAAAAAACGATTCCTTTCGGGATTGTCTTCCATTTAAATATGAGGTACGGGCGAAGCTTGTGCCCATCTGACGTGTAACAGAGCATTGCCGTCACTGTAGTTTTACCGTGGACCGATGTCAGCACGCGAACTTGCTTCGCCCCCTTCTTCTCGACAGTTGTGGTGCCAGGCATGTCGAAGTAAAGAGGCGTCTGATCGGCATTCCAGATTTGCCCAAGCAGGTAGCCATTGTTGTGCCGCAAGTTTAGGACGAACCTCTGAAAACTGTAAAGCTTTTCATCGTACTTCTCCGCAAAAGTTTTCGCATATGCATGTTCCTCTTCGGAGGGAAGAGCCTTTCCTCTTCATATAGTTAATTAGCCAGCACCTGCTCGCTTTAAACAGGCTCCGCATTAGACTTTTTTCTAAGACTAATTGCATAGCCCGCACTTGAAGCAGTTCTGTCGTCATGGGCCGCTCGCTCCTCAAGCACATACTCGCGGAGCAGCTCTTCAATTTGCGGAAACCGACCCTGCTGTGGTTCACTGAAGCCTTTGCGTGAAGCTTTGCTGTCGACAATCTTCTGCTTTTGTTTCCGCCGGTCCCGCACGCACGTTTCGAGAAGGACCGCGATGCGGCCCGATTTCCGTCCGTTTCTGCACACGCGATGACTTTTCTTTTAAAAGCGGCATCGTGGTGCACTCGAGTTTTTGGAGTCGGCCCTTCCACGTCGTCGATGCTAATGCACTACTAGATGACGAACTCCTCAGCACACGTACGAAGTGTCGCACATGGTAAACACATGGGCAGAAATAGCCGACGCACCATGCCACGGAGGAAGCCTCCGTGCACCATGCCGACGCACGTAGGGGGCGGCCATCTTGGATTTGCGATGGCAATAGATTGACCGTAATTTTTTTGTTCGTACTCGATTCTAACGCGCATGCGATTTATGAACTCGCTTAACCGGAAAAAAGGTGCGCGTTAGATTCGAGTAATTACGGTATTTATGGCGTAGTGGGAATCAAGCGTGCTTGTAGCAGTTACCCGAAGAGTGTTTAGAAAAGGCTTTGAAAGGCAGCTTTCACTGTGACTGTGCTGAGCATTCCGCGTAGGCCTGGCATTTTTTCATTTACTTTCATATAACCAATATTTTCTTTATATTTGGGTCCGCTATCTCAAGGTTTGAGCGTACAGTCGAACTAGCATATATCCCCTCCTGGCACAGTGTTCATATATGTGGGCACAACTTCGTTTTGCCAGCACTTTAGAGTAGTAACCAATTAAGAAGCAAGGTGCACTACACATAGCATGAATTGAGCCTCCTGCACAGCTAGCTTGTATTTACGTAACCTCAAGGTACTGTGTATAACTGAAGCAGATTGGTTTGCTCGAAGCTCCACAATTTTTGACAGGTTGTTCAACCCACCATGATCTAGAACCTCGAAAAGCATCATTTTTATTTGCTCGTATTGATATGACTTAAAATTGAATATGCATACATTTGGATCCTGAGACTTAATTCTTTACAGAAAAAAATGGAGCATAACCAATTGCAAAATGATAAGGCATTTGAAGATGCACTTATTACGACTAATTACTAAAGCTCTTACAAAATGAGATATCACGTAGTTCTATTTCTTCTGACAGAACGTTGACTGCATCAGAAACATGCTGAGTAACTTTGACACATCTTCAGAGTCGTAATTTGGATCGGAAAGGGGTGTTCAGCTGACATAATACGAATTTTTAGGTGTAATGAAAAAGTGTAAAATATTCTTCACTATATTTTTTATTCATAAAAACATTTTTTCATTCATAAAATATTTTATTTACTTATTTATCTATATATAGAACTATTGTGAATTCATTCATCTCATACGAAGTGTTCCAGCTTACCCGGATTTTTGTTTTGCTTGCATATAGTTGGGCCAGTCGGTTCTGCAGGTGGACGGTGTGGGTGCGCGTTGAAGAACAGGTCAGGGAAGACTGAATACACAGCATAACTTTTTCAACTTGTCTATCAAAAAGAGGGAAGCGTTACACGTATACACGCAAGCCTCTGTATAATGAAACTGGACATAACGAGATGTCCATTGTAACGATGTTAACAGAGAATAGTCTTGCTATAAATGTGGTGTTAAGAATCACCTCTATAACGAATTTCGGGTTCAGCGAATTTATTGTCATGTAAGATGCAACTTCGTTGTGAGGTTTGAGTGTACATTGAAGCAAATAACTCAGGGCCTGCAGATTACAAGTCACTGAGCATTCAAAAACTTGCGAGTTTCTTGAATAATAACAATTAAGCTATGCTTACTCATGAGTGTATGCATTTCAAAATCGATGTCGCTTTTATTACAAGTCCTACGGATTGATTGTGGTTGCGGTATATGACAGTGCACTGATGAAATTTTGGGGTGCACGAGCACCTCAGGCAGCAAGTTTCGAGATGATTGTTAAAATTACTCTTTAGGCTATTGTCATGTTCCCTTAGGTGCTTTTTAGGGCATAACCCAGTCTGCCCTCTATACTGTGTATACAGTGAAACCTCGTTAAACCGTACCTGCGTAAACAGTAGTTTCGTTTTAAAAGTAGTGAAGTCAAATCCCCGACTCAGCGGTCATTGAACATAATGCATTTTGTATCCGCATAAGCCGTACCAGCTTATCGCGTATGTACCGATTAATAAGTAGTTTTTCCAATTATTGTTGCGCACTCGCCACGGCATGTCGTCCCCCACTGGGCGTCCCGACAGAACAGCAAGCCCCAGAGATCGAAACACGCCTTGCTTATTTGTGTTGATGATGATGGCGGCTGTGTTGGTGAGCGCCATCTCTTGGATTTTTCTGCAACAAGAAGCACTCGGCCCGCTAGGCTTCTGGTGTTGTCCACGCGATGGTGCTTTGCACAAACACGCAAACACGGTGTGCGCTTGCTTTGCTTTCTGTGTTCCTTTGGCGCCGTGCATAGGTGTTCTCTGGTTGATCCGAGAACTCTGCTAGCTGAAGTGCTGGAGCGGCAGGGCGTTACGGAAGGCATTTTCTTCCCCGACTTCAGAGACGCAGATAGCAATGTGCAGACATCTCCGGACATGTCCGACGAAGCCATTGTTGCCTCGGTTGTCGAAGTGTCGCCAAATGATAGTGATGAGGATGACATGGAAAGCGACAACACGGGTGATCCAGGTCCGACAGTGGCCGAAGCTGCGCATTGCGTCAGCGTTATGCGGGTATTTGCCGAGAAGAGGGGGCTGGCGGAAAAGCTGGCTCACAGCATAAGCGAGTTTGAGGCCGCTGTTGTTGCTACTAGGCCGCCGCGTCGTCAAATGAAGATTACAGACTTTGTCACGCGAGTTAATAAATTACTGCACGCTTTTTGTTCTTTCATCGCACTCCCTGAAGGTTTCTTTTTTTGACAAATAAGTTAGCGACATGACGCTATTTCGGTTAAGCAGTACTACCGTTTAGTACGTACTTTTTTCGAGCTCCGGCCAACTACCGTTTAACGAGGTTTCACTGTACTTGCGTAATGAATGCACTTCTTTTTCCCGAGGAATCAAAGTGAAGTTGAGGGTGCGTTCATTACGCTGGAGAAATTTTATTAAGACTTTTTGGGGATGAGCAAAAGGTGCAATAATGCAAAAAAAGTTACCGTATTTACTCGATTCTACCGCGCCCTCGATTGTAACGCGCACCCGATTTTCACCGCGAAAAAAAAAAAAAAAAGTAAGACATCAATTGCAATGCGCACCCATTTTTCTCGCCGGCCCGCACGATCACACCACTCGAAAAAACTACGCCTTTCGAAAGCGTATTCTATTTAAATATGAGGTACGGGCGAAGCTTGTGCCCATCTGACGTGTAACAGAGCTTTCCGTCACGGTAGTTTTACCGTGGACCGATGTCAGCACGCGAACTTGCTTCGCCCCCTTCTTCTCGACGGTTGTGGTGCCAGGCAAGTCGAAGTAAAGAGGCGTCTGATGGGCATTCCCGATTTGCCCAAGCAGGTAGCCGTTGTTGCGCCGCAAGTTTAGGACGAACCTCCGAAAACTGTGAAGCTTTTCATCGTACTCCTCCGCAAAACTTTTCGCATATGCATGTTCCCCTTCGGAGGAAAAAGCCTTTCCTCTAAATAAAGTTAGTTA